CAGGCTGTTGATGGGTCTCCCCAAGTGGGAGCACATCCAGCCTGGGTTGAAAGCGCTGCACTGGCTGCCAATAGTGTACCAAATCCGCTTCAAAGTGCTGGTTCTTACCTTTAAGGCCCTATATGGCCAGGGTCCGACCTACCTGAGGGACCGCCTTTCCCCACATATACCCCCAAGAGCACTTCGGTCGGGGACACAACACCGCCTGGTGATTCCAGGCCCCCGGGAGGCAAAGCTTGCTGCGACCAAGGCCAGATCCTTCTCAGTGGCGGCCCCCACCTGGTGGAACGAGCTCCCGGAGGAGATCAGGGCCCTGCGGGACCTTATGCAGTTCCGCAGGGCCTGCAAGACGGAGCTCTTCCGCCAGGCTATTATATAGGAGCCACCACCTCTGCCACCTCTATTATTACCATCATTGGAACAACGGGGTTGGGAGTGGTCCCCGGAAGAACTGCCATAATTCTGCATGGCACTGATGCTGCTGGACTGGCTTGGACCATCGACAGGACAATTTCACCTTCATGAAATGATCGATACCATTTTCAGAGACCATCTTGTTGTATGGAGCACTTTATTTGTCTTTGCTGTGACTTAATAGCTTTTAATGTTTTATATTGTTTTAATGTATGGACTTGTGCCCCCGTGTAAGCCACCCTGAGCCCGTTCGCGGGGAGGGCGGGGTAAAAATGCAATAAATAAAATAAATAATAAATAAAAATATTCATACTACACAACAATTTGACTAAAACATTGCCTTAAAATACATCTCACTTCAAAAGGGAAAAAATCATTGGCTTTTTAAAATGGTCCCTTAAATTTGAGGAAGACGCCTCAGTTTTTGTTTTTTTCTTGGTACCCATTAAGATGCATTTCACATTCCAAAGGAGAATATTTGATAGGAGGGGTTTTTCCCCAGTAGCCCCCCAAATTCTCCAGGTTTTATGTAGGACAAATTAAAAAAAAGGTTCTTGTGGGGGGAGACTGTTTTTCTGACCCTCCCCACCTCCCAGACCCTTCACCTTCAGTCAAGTTCAGGGTGCTGGTACTACTAATCTTCCATGGTGTGACACTACAGTATTGTAAGCTAGTTATGTTTGGGCGGTTGTTGTTGTTTTAAACTCATTCAATTCCTGTTGTTTTAAACTTCTACAATAAGAAATCCTGCAAAACCCTCTCTTTCCCCACTTCAGGAAAACCTTGTGGCAGAAAAAGAGAATGACCTTCAAAAATGGCGTGCTGAGAGAGATCAGCTGGTGGCAGCTTTGGAAGTTCAGCTGAGCTCCCTGATTTCTAGCAATGCACAAAAAGATGCCGAAATAGAAGAGCTGAAGAAGGCAGAACTGAGAGCTCCCACACAGGTCTGTGTATGTGTTTTTTTTTCTTTCCCACTGCCTTTTTTTGCCATTGATTTAGCCCCACATATAATTATTCTGCCTATTGTGCTTTTAGGCAATGGGCTGATTTTTAGTTGCAAAATAAACGATGCTACTTCTTCTGTATATACTTCATTTTAAGTCTGTTAATGGGTTAATGTTAATGGGTCTCTCTAGAAGGGACCACATTCAGCCTGTGCTGAAAGCGCTGCACTGGTTGCCAATAGTGTACCGGATTCGCTTCAAAGTGCTGGTTCTTACCTATAAAGCCTTACATGGTCTGGGTCCAACCTTCCTGAGGGACCGCCTTTCCCCGTATGTTCCCCCAAGAGCACTACGGTCTGGGGCCCAAAATTTGTTAACTATTCCGGGCCCCAGGGATGCCAAACTGGCCGCCACTAGGGCCAGGGCTTTTTCGGTGGCGGCTCCTACCTGGTGGAATGAGCTCCCGGAGGAGATCCGGGCCCTGCGGGATCTTGTGCAGTTCCGCAAGGCCTGCAAGACGGAGCTCTTCCACCAGGCTTTTGAGTAGGAGCCGCCGCCCCCCACTATATCACCACCAATGTTCCCTCTAAGGTGTGGAGTCTTGTGAGCAAAAATTCTACTTTTTGAGTTACTGGTATTAAAGTTGTGAGCAAATGATTTGGCTACTGCATAAATTAATTTGCTCTGGAGACATCTTTCCTGAGCTAAGAGAAAAATGTGTGAGCCAGAGGCTAAAAAACTGTGAGCTAGCTCACACTAACTCAGCTTAGAGGGAACAGTGATCACCACCGTGGTGGGCTGGAAGAGGCCCTGAGAATAAACACCTGAACATGACTGAAGCCTTGGGCCGTCTACCGGGAACATCTGGAATTGTTCCGTCATCTTTGGATCTTGAAGACCTTGAAGAATACTGAGCACTTTATCTGAATTAGGATTGGGATTTTAAGATGTATAGTATGTTTTTAAATTATAAGTATATTGTGTTTTTATTGTAGTAAGGTTACATTGCCTTTGTAAGCCGCCCTGAGCCCTACGGGGGAGGGCGGGGTATAAATTTGAAAAATAAATAAATAAAGTGTTGAAATGGTGTTAATGTTTTGGGGAACACTATTTAGGTGGAAACACAACACAAAGATGTTTTAAATAAATAAGATTTAAGTCCATGATAGTTCTTGAACTAAATTTTCCCAGGTAAATTACCTGTAGCCTTCAAACACTAGACTTGATGGCTAAAAATTCTCACTTCCTATATTCCCTGGGTTTTGAACAAGGTTGCCATAATCATGACAAATTCATGAGGAGGGCATGTTTCAGGGCATGCCTGGCCTTGTAGTTCTTACTTGCTGTTGACAGACCTAACCAAAATGAAGCAGTCATGTCCATTTCTTTTTACTTGTGCCTTCAGGGTCTTAATTTCTTTAGCTATAACTTCCATATTGAATTGCTTTTCAGCAACTGCATTAACTTTATCTTGGGTATACAAATCCAGTAGGTATTTATTGATATACTCAAAGTTTGTGTTTCACTAATCCATTCAAACTCTTATAGCTAAAATGTCCTTTTCTTTTTTCTTTTGATTAAGGATCATGAAACTGCCCTAAAAGAACTTAGAAGACAGTTGGCTGAGAGAGACAATATTATTCAGGAATTAAAGCAAAGTTATGTAAACTCTAAAACAAAAATGTTGCCCATGCCAGTGGAAGCCAAACAACATAAAATGGAAGATCTCCATGGCCGTAAGGTAAGCTTCAGGATTTTAACAATACCTTTTGAGTCTAATCAGGGCCAATAAACAATTGCATCGAACACATTTAAACTACCTCCTGAATAATTACACACAATATTAACAAAGATGTGGTTGTATGAATCAATCAATTTAGGTTCTAAATTAGATTTACTGTAGATATTAAAACAGGCATAACATCTGCAGGATTCCTCAGTAAGGTTTACTAGTCTCAAGCCAGATCTCTACCTCTTGAGTTCCTGTTTCCTGTCCTATTATACTACATCTCCCAGCAGGCAGTGTTAACAACTTTTGTTTATAGTCACTGCCGTATCTAAGAAGACCACAGATGTTCTTCTGACATGGGAACTTTGAATGAAAAGCAAAGCCTTTTAAAATATTGTCCTGAGTCTTTTGTCCTGAGCATTCCTGGGTAGAAGAAGAAGAGAAGATTAAGAAGAGATTGGATTTTTACCCCACCCTTCACTCAGAGTCTCAGAATGGCTTACAATCTCCTTCCCTTCCTCTCACCACAACAAACACCCTGTGAGGTAGGTAGGGCTGAGAGAGCTATCAGAGAACCGCTTGAGAAAACAGCTCTGCGAGAACTGTGGCTGACCCAAGGTCACCCAGCAGCTGCATGTGGAGAAGAGGGGAATCAAACCCGATTCTCCCAGATTAGAGTCCGCACACTTAACCACAACACGAAACTGGTTCTACACAAGTAAAATTGCTTGTGCTTGAAATTCCTCAAGCTACTAATATTAATTAGGAGCAGTTGACCACATCTAATTTTAAGCATTTATCAGCCACATTTTCTGCCCCAAACCTGCTACTCCGAGTGCTTACCAAGAGAGAGAGAGAGAGAGAGAGAGAGAGATCCTACAAATCAAACCAGCGTCAACCAAACAAATACAACTTGGGCAGATCATGCTAAATCTGCAATTAAGTCAAAGTAATCACAAAATAAATGACACCTTCTCTCTAGTTAAGTGTGCTGTTTGATAAAGCCAGAACTTGAGTGCTGAAAAACCATCCGAGCAGGAACCAAAAAAGCTGTGGGTACCCTGATAGAGAAGGCCCCATTGTGTGTTCTCACAGCCCTCTCCTCCCTGAAGGATGGAATGTAAATTAGGGCACTTGTGATTTTTACCACCACTGAGTGCTTACTGCATCAGAATAGATTTGAACTATATAAATATCATTCTCTTTCTTTTGCAGCTTAAAGAGAAGCAAATTGAGTCAGTAAATTGCAACCGTGTTGGGGACACTGATTCACAGCTACAAAATTCTAGCAGGGCATCTTCAGTAGAAGATATTCAGGTAGATTTTCATGCTGAAAAGGAACTGCTTATGAAATCTGATAAGACACCCTTTCCTCCATAAACAGCTTTAGCTCTTGGGTGAATGGCAGCAAATTAAGATTGCTTTATCCCAGCTACTGAGAAGGATGAAGAGGAAGCTGTTCTTAGGTTGAATTGGGAAGCTGCCAGAGGAACTTTTAGGGAAACACATTTTTGATTTTGCCGTGCTAAAAGCAGGTCTTCCGTTTGAACCTAGCTGATATTTCAGTAGCAAAACACTTCTCTGTGTTTGCTTGTGTCTTGTTCAACCTCTAAACTTTGTAAATAATTTTGATTTCAAAGACCAGAAGTCACCATCTAGTGTGTGCACTTTATTCCAGCAACAATAATTACAATTAATTTGGTTCCGTTTTGGGGAAAAGGAAACTTGAAAATAACTGTCTTATTCTTAGGCTATCAAGACGCGGTTCCCAATACAAACATTTCTTTCTTTCCCCCCCCCCCCCCCCAATGGCTAGTGAGTAGCAAGATACTTCACACCAGAAATTTTGATGGGAGAACTTTTTTTGTCTCGCCTTAATGCCAAACTTAATAGCTAGGTGCCTATTTAATAGAGCAGTGAAATGGGGCCACTCATAGATGTGGTAGGGATTTTCTGCATACTTAATAGGCTTACCAGAAGCAAAGCCATTCACAAGCAACTTGATGAGAATTTATCTCATGCTCTAGGGGGACATGGGATGTTGAGGGCAGTGGAATGTTGAGAAGACTTCTATTGGCTCAAATGTTTAACAGCTTAAAATGCCAGGGAGGGTAGGGCAGGGTTGGGAAGAAACTTTACACTTTCTTTCTAGAAGCCCCCAATTTGTTTGTCTTTACCTTCTTTTTATTCTAATCACAGGACCAGTCGGAAATCATCCTAGATTCTTGTGAAGTGTCTTCAGAGAATGACGTAACTAGCCGCTTTCCAAAGCCTGAAATGGAAATTCATTTTACACCCTTGCAACCCAATAAGATGGAAGTGAAACATCAAGGCAGTCCTTCTTCAGTGACTATAAAAGTGCCCAAGGCAAGGAAAAGAAAGAGCAGCACAATGGATGAGGTATTAAACTCTGAAAGAGACAAATACAAACAAGCTGCCGTTACCTTATTTGTAGACTACTGTACATAGCACAATATAGAGAAGGGAGAACCACCAAGAGAGAAATAGCCGAAGGGGATCCCCAATTGTTCTGTCGTGCTGCGCTGTCTTTGATCTCTCTCTGTTTCTTACTTGGACACGCAGGATGCTGTAAAATGTGTCTTGCCTAGAACCTGTATTAACATAAGATCTGCACAATGTTTATTGGATCTGACCCAGAATTGGGGGGAGGGGATATGTTGTTTTCCCATCTTTTAAATTTATAGTATGTCCAAATGTCTTGAGGACTAATTCTGATTACAGAACTGGCAGCTCATGAGTGGTGGTTATCAAGCTTGGCCAGGAGTGGGGGAGAGGCGGGGTATTAAAAATTAGATTTGTTGTTTTGTTTGCATCTGAACGAGGTGGTTGGTGACTGACAATGCAAACCCTAAGCAGAGTTATACCCGATTGGGATTGCACGATAAATCACAGGAGCGTTGAATAGGAGTATTGCCCATTATGGTTAGTGTGTGTGCACTTTAGTATCATTGTATGCAGTATTAAAGAATAACAAAGAGCTACTTCTACACCTGGTATTGTACTTAAAGACTTGCAGAAAAGAGCCATTTGAACTGGAATTCATTATTGCGCATTAATCCTTGGAGAAGGTGGGTTCATTGAAACCATAACCTCTCTCTTCCAACTATTCTTTTCAAGAGCAGTATATTGTCAAGTCTCCGGAAATGCAAACTTAGAAATAAGGGCACTTCTGATGGTGTTGGTCAGGTACTGATTCTTTGCGCTTTATGCTGTTCTCACTATTGTAGAAGTCTTGATAACATAGTGTACTGTAACAGAATCCATATTTAATCTAGTAGTATATTTAGAGCCTATCATTAGAAAAGCTGAACTTCAGTGAAAATAATGCGTACCGCTGCTCCTTCATTTGCCTTTCTCTTTACCTCTGTTTTCATTTCGCCTGCTATTTCAATCCTAGCTCAGTATTCCAAGAAACTGAAACTGTTTGCACAACAATTAAAATTAACCAGTCATTAGTCTGAGATGTCAGCTGAAGCAACTGTGACTTAATCCAAGCTTCAGTGTGAGTCATATTTACCTGAAAGTGAATTCCATTGAGGGAAGCTAGATTTCCTGTGGCTGCCTATTTTGCAGTTTTGAAGAACAGGATGCTGAAATTGGGACTGTAACTGTCTTTGAGGACGGTGCTTCCAAAGCCAGGATTTGAAAGCTGCGGCAGGCAATCAGATTTACAAAGTGACAGCGATGGGGCTCTAAGCTTCTTGTTTTTCCCACCACCCATGCCTTTTGCTTTGCTGTGAATCGATTGGCAGTCTCTTTTAAAACTCTTAGACTATATTAGTCCATGTTTAGAGTACAGGTTATATGCAGCTTCACTGAGATAAATTGGGACCTTACTCACCCCAAGATGAATACACTTTTAGCCAGTATCAGGCGTATTAAAATTCATTAAGCATGACCAATTTCAACACCTTCTCATGTTTGCTTTTGGCAGCTTTGTTCATATTGGGTAGGGGTGAAACATCTTCAGTCATGTGTAGTCAAACTAAAATCCCCGTGGTCTACCAATTTTTCTCAAATGTATCAAGCAGAAGCATAGACATGACCTCTTAATGGTTAAGGCATAACTACTCTGTTTTGAGTAATCTTGAGTAGACATGGTTTAACAAAAATTAGTGCCAATCCAGCTAATCCAGCCCAGAAGCCTTGATATGCTCTACTGGAAAACAGCAGTGATGGATCACAGTCTGCCCTTTACCCTCCCATGTTTACTCCTGTACTCCCGTCCCTCAAGCTTGAATGGTAGCCACCCTCTGCGAAATCAGTGCATATTATGATTCCCCCTCCCTCAAGACTTGTTGGTCTGAGAAAACTGCTCTGTCCAGCTCTGCTCTACAGTTCGGTTCACTGAAGAAGAAAAATCTTGCATCCACATGCTGAATATCAGCTGCTTATTATTAGTAGATTGCTACCAGTTTAACAGTGTAACTGAGGAAATCTAAATATGTGCCTCTTGGGCAAATGGGCTACACAGATGGAATAGTAAAGAAATAAAATATAGCAGTGGCAAAACTAATGGCCATTTTTCAGTTTCCATTTCACTAGGGAGGACGTTTGTTCTGTGCCTACAGTTTAAGCTGGAATGTCTAATAGCTTCTGAATGTCTGGACATTGCCATCAGTTCAGTTTTTAGTAATAGTCCCCTTTTAGCTGAAAATAAAAATTAATGACTAACAAAGTAGCCCATGAACCCTTGTTGGAAGTTGAGCATGCTCTTCTGTTTTTAAGGAGGATGTGAAGAATGAAAATGAGAAGAATGCTGAAACCCCAGCAAATGGCTCATCAAGCAGACAAAAGAAAAAGGTTTGTGTGCACAGAACTGCAGAGAATGTCACAATAACTTGCATATTGTACTGGCTTGCAGGTTCTGAGTATCAGGTGCCAGAAGTCAGGCAAGGCAGGGTCATTCAGTCCAAGGTCAGGGCTCCAGAAGTCAGGCACGGCAACGTAGTTCAGACTAAGGTCAGGGGTCTAAAAGTCAGGCAAGGCAGAGGCGGTGGCTTAGCATCTCTTGTATGTGTTGCATCCGCACCTAACAGCCTCTCTTGGCTGGTTTTTATAGCCCCATACCTAAGGGTCACGCTGGTAGCCAGCTGCTCAGAAGCAGTCCTGCAACTACTCATCTTTATTATTGGCAAGCAGCTGGTGTCGGGCCAGGAGGCATGCACTTTGCTGTCTTGTCTGTAGCTCTTTTCTCAGCCTCCATCTGTGGCGCTCTAAGGGTGTGGGTGATACTAGTGGGCTGGGAACAGCCAACTGAGGTTCACCTGCTGAATCAGGGCTGAAGAGTGTCAATGGCTCTGCACCCACTGTTGGCTGTGAATCCTGATGAGCCTGCAGCTAATTTTCCTGCTGGTCAACTACTCCTGTTAACTCGAGGCTGGCAACACGGGGCTCCTCTTGAGGAGTCCTTGCTATCACTGAGCCCTTGCTGACCCACACCACCTACATATGTGTGTGTGAGTGTGTGAGAGAGAGAGCCGTGACGTCTCTGCAGCAATATTTCCCTGCTCGCTTAGACAAACACTTAACAGCAGTATTGAGTTTCCCCCTTTGGCATCAATAAAGAAGTCCAGCAACCAAGAGTATAAGGAAGCTGGATCAAGAGGTTCCTCCTTTTCTCTTGAGATCTGGATTTCCCTGCCTCTAGAGAAGGTGGACATAATGGTCTACTCCAGAGCCAGCCTCTTTTCTTTCAGTCTTCCTGGCCAAAGAGAGAAGGGGGAGAGAGACTGAATATTCCAGTGTCTACAGTGCTACTTATCCAACAGCTCCCTGCTCCTCTGAAATGTGGTAACTACAAACCTGTCTGAGAGTCTGTGCTTACTTTCTGGAACTAGATATATAATGGGAAGCAGTGATGGTGGGGAATCAAGCAGTCACAAGAGGTAGTGATTAGTTCAAACTGTTGCAGAATTGAATAATTGTAATTTGTGTGTGTGTGTGTATAAATAAATAAAACATTCTGTCCTTGACACTATGTTTGCCTAGCAGGGGGACACTTTTTCCTCAGCCACAGAAGCAGTTTAACTCTTAGGGGATGACACAATCATTTTAGCATCAGTGGGCCTCTTGTACTTGAGATGGCCCCCCTCCAAATACCCTGGCCATGCTTGTGGCCACAGCCAGGCTCTATGTATGTATGCTCTAACATTCACAGTTGCACTTTCCAAGTCATTACGGCCACACACATTTCTGCTGCTGTAGATGTAGTTACTACCTGAAGGCCCTGGTTCACACAAGTGGCGCCTCTATGTCAATACAATCCATCTCTGCCCCTCACACCTTTTGAAGATATTAAGTGTGGGGGCTGCTCTCATGTTTGAGCTGATTGGGGGGGCAGGCAGAGTGTGCCAATCAATGCTCCCTCTAAGCTGTGGAGTCTTGTGAGCAAAAATTCTACCTTGTGAACTCCTGGCCTTAAAGTTGTGAGCGAGCGATTGGGCTACTGCATAAATTAGTTTGCTCTGGAGCCCTCCTTCCTGAGCTAGGACAAAAATGTGTGAGCCGGAGGCTAAAAAACTGTGAGCCAGCTCACACTAACTCAGCTTAGAGGGAACACTGGTGCCAATAGTAGGGCATTGGTTTTAACACTGTATTTGTTCCAAAACGCAAAAGCCAGCTTTAACATTTGTGCGGAGAAATCTAGCTGTAGCCAAAAAGTCTTTCCACTTACATGTTCTAGTCGCGTCAAATCTTGAGTTAAGCCCTGCTAAGAATCCCATGCGATGTAAAAAACAAGGGAACTTGTAGCCAAGGGATGCTTATAAACCAAACATTTAACGTGTCTTTTTCAATCTCCTATGTTCTTTCAGACCGTTCCTGATCCCTCTCTTAAGAAGAATTATTCCCTGAGAAGAAGGCATTTTGCTGAAAGTGTAACATCGCCTGGAAACAAAGGTGGATCCTTGCACAAATTTGGCTATTTCTTGCAGAGCTCTCCTACAATCATTCACTCCAAAGGTAAACGACAAAAGTGAAAAATCAATGCCTTAAATACTAGCCCGTTATAAGACTGTATCTGTAGCTCCTGCTTGAACAATGAGAAATGGTGGTTTTAAATAAGCCTGTGATGGAGCTTCCATTCCCTCAAATACTTGTTGGCTAGCAATAATGAAATGACTAAGCATTTGCAAAAGGGACCAGTGCCCCATGACACTTACCAGCAACACACAGTCCTTTTGGGGCTTTAGTTGGCACAGTGGTTTGGGGAAGGTAAGGGATTGTTTCCTACCGCTTACCTGTATCCAAGGCTTAGAACAGTTGCCTCTCACTTGGACCCTCTTGCCAAGGGCAAAGGCTTAGCAGAGTGGGAGGGATTTCTTCTAATTTCTGGTGGTGAAGGTAAGAAACGGCAGGAAGAAGATCTGGTGCCATATTTTTTTTTACTTTCCCAAAGCAGCAGAGCAGATAAGACTGCCTCCCTTCTCCACCAGGCCTTGTATGTGCCAAAATATTTTGAGGAGTGATCAAGGCTTGGTGGCGAGCAGCATTAGAGGCTGGTGAGCAAAAGGGTGTCCTCACTGAAGAAGCCTTCAACCCATATTCAGTGCAGAGTAAGGATTGGAAAGACCGCCCCACCCCTGGCCTGGGGCAACAGCAGCCATTGGCCCTACTTGCCATAGAACAGTAGGGGACGGAACAGGGAGTGTCTTTGCTTAAGCACATTCTTGTTGTATGTTTCCCAGTTTTGTGAAGAACTGTTTTTAAAATTGGCTTGAGCCAAGGGGGAGGGGGATACTTCTGTAGAACAATTTTGCAGAGTAGTTCCTCTTTTATAAAGCAGAGTTCCGATAAGAATGCAGTATAAACAGCGCCGCTTATGCTGCTTTAGTGTGTTTGTACAAAAGTCTTTAAAAGTTTTTGAAAATGCCTCTTTCAGCTAAGAAATTGATGGCAACAATAAAATCTCCCAAATCTACAGAGGAGGGATCTGTTAAAGAAAATGATCTCAAGCCAAAGAGAGCCAAGCGGAGGCTGTATAACATGGGCATTTCGTCCCCGATGGAGTTTTCTGGGCATGTGGTAAGTGACTTTGTGAAGCTAACCTTTTAAAAAGTATAGACCTTGGTGGCAAGGCAGGAATGATTCTGGAGCCCCAGCATTGTAAAAATGGTTTTTAATTTAAATTTATGCATTTAAAATATTTCTATCATGCCTTATATTTGCATACTTAAGGTGGGTATTGTATAGCACAGTGATCCTAAATCTGTCTTCTCTGTCGCGTGAATAGATTTCTATATAAGAGCAGGCATGCTGGGAATGGGCAGTGGTCCTTCTAGCCCAGCATCATGTTTCTCACAGTGCCCAGCCAGATCCCCCCCCCCCCCCCCCCCCTGCAGACGAGCGTTTCTCCCTGTTGTTTCCCAGTGCTGGTGTTTAGTGGGTTTCTGACTCCGGACATGCATTGCCATTTAGTCATTGTGGGTAATAAACCCCTGATGGGACCTGTCCTCCATGAATTTGTCTAATCTCCTTTTTAAGCCAACTAAACTAGTGGTCACCACACTGTCCTGTCCAAGTGAATTCCACAAGCCAGTTGGTCTTTGAATGAAGAAGTACTACCTCCACCCCACCCACCCCCTGTCCTGAATCTGCTGCCTATCAACTTGATTTTGGTGTCCACAAGTTCTATTATTATGGGAGAGGAAGAAGTCATCACTATCTTTTTTTTCTACACTGCATATGTTCTCTAAGATTTCTTGTGAAGCTGTATAAATTGAACCAGCTGACTCAGTCTAGAGGGGTTAAGTTGGAATGAGAAGACAGGGGACCACAGTGTGAAATGAGTTTCTCTTCTTCCTGTCCCAATGTGTGTTCCCAATGAAGAATTTCTGAGATGGTATAGTAGATGTTCTTAGCATTATCCTAAGGAATGTTGTGACAGCCAGCTCTTGTCTTCAGAGTGTTGAGCTGATAGGTGTGTGACCATATTGATATCAGCGGTTATGGTGAAACACTGGCCAATCTAAGCGAGTTAATAATGAGCAAAGGCTACGGGCCTCCCAAAGTGAGCACAGTGTAAAACGTTAGTTGGTTTCAGTGTGGGTCAACGAGAACCATTCAAGGTCATTGTTTTCTTGGGATACTTAAGGCTCAAAACTAGAAGAAATAGATCCGGGACCTCTGTTTATCTTTTATTAATTACATAATTGGGGTGCCTCCCCCATTTTTCATCAGACAACTGCTGTAATTGAAATTGGGACGTTATTTATGCATGCATTCGTCCTTTTGAAGGAAAAAAATGTGCCCATAATTTTTTCCCCTTCAAAGAGCTAATGAACAGTTCTGGGGGCTTCAGATGGCAAAGCTGTGTGCAGGGTGGGCTAAAATCCCTTTCTCTTCCATGCATGGACCTGATCAGAACTGTAGGAGTCCAAGTTGCAGTAACTTGGGTGTTTTTGGGTTTTGGGGTTTTTTTTAAAAAAAGAAAGCTTGAGACCTGTGATCTCTTTCTTGTCTAGTTTGATCCTACAAGTGAACAAGCCATTCTTTTTTGGATGAACTAGGAAGGAACCTAGGGACTTCAAAACTATTATGGATGGAGCCTTCTATTTCAACAAGGAAAGAGAACACCAGTGAATTTAACTCTTTGGGGAAATTGCTCCTTGCCCTGCCCACTATCACTGAGATGGATGGCTAGAAGTGTCACTAGCGTTGGTGGGGGGTGTCAGTTCCACCCACTCTGTTCCTATGAAGATCTGAACAGCCCTCAAGTCTATGGAAAGATGCTGTCGTCAGAAGCAGCCCTGCCTTCCAACCCAATTGCTCGGGGATGCAGATGCATGGAGGGAAGGCTTGGCTCTCTGTCCTGCCGCTGCTAGCAAGATAGTATGGGCAAGTGACCTGGATGGTGTTGGCTTGGTGCACTCTAGTAGGGATATCAGTTATATTTATTTATTTATTGGCAAGGGAGATTCTTTTCTAGGATGTGAGATACACATTCAACGCCTGCCCATGTTGAGACTGACATCCACTTTGTTCAAGTGTTTTGTAAGCCACATTGAAAGCCTTAATCTTTTTGTTGAATTGAATGTCGGACTGAGAACTTCCTTAAATTCCTTTACAGATTGTGATGGATCAAAAGGAAAGCGATCACGAAATCATCAAGCGGCGGCTCCGAACAAGGAAAACATAATTTCCCCTCCACACACACACACACTCATGTGGATCTAATCATGCATCTAATTTAAAGACTTGGTGGTGGACTTCCAGAACGTAGCTCTTCCAGAGTAGATGAGTGTGGACTGAAAACCGCTATGTTGACTGAACACCGCTCTTAACGACATGTATATAGTAAGTTTTGTGCACTCTGTTTCATGTTCCCAAAATTCCTGTGTAAATTTTCTTTATTGTACTGAAGTGTACTAAAAATGGAAGAGATTAAACGTATTACTACATACCACTTTGCTTTCAGACTAGTAATTATATCTGATTTTTTTGTTGTGGAGGCGATAATACATAGAGCAGCATGTCCCACGGTTACCATTGTGCCCAGCTCCTATTTTAAAGAGTTCAGCATCTTCACAGTCATTGTTCATTGTGTTGCTTTTAAAAAGAACATTCTACACCTTAAGACTGTGGTGCTTGACTTTAAAATGTGCAAGCCATGCCAGATGAATTCCTGGATGCCAAAGGGAGGCTGAGCTGTGGCCTTACATGGGTCTTGGCCCTAGGCACTGGCAGTACCCAAGGAACTTTTGCCCATGTTCTCCTCTACCAGGTGGGTAAAGAAACTCATGTGTCTCCCCCCACCCTGCTCCAGCACAAGGGTCTGTAAGTGGCCCCAACTACTGCAAGCACCACACAATCCCTGCACTATATATTGCTGCTGTAGGTGTATAGATCTCTGCTGCAGATTATCTTGTCACAATAACAGTATAGGTTAGAGCCCCAGCTGTATCCGCTGCCTTTCCAAATACAAAATAAAAACTAAAGCTTTTCGGTCAGCTTTTAGGACTGTTCTGCCTTGATTTCTACGGCTTTGGTTTCTCCCTGGGATAACCTCTACTTTGAAAGAAAAACAAACTAATGAATGTTCCCAGGCTACATCTTAACCGTATATATTTACTTTAATGGCTGCGCTAATGCACATTTGTGCAACCAGCAGGGAACGAAATTAAGCACTTCAAAAGTCTCACTACATTAATTCGTTCTATAGAAGGGAGGCCTTCGGCCAACCCCAAAATAGGTGCTCTTTGTATCTTGTAGTGGCCGAGTGCCGTATAGAAGAGCTACAGGGGATTGTGTCAAGTGTTATGTTTGCGTGAGGTGGTCCTCTCTTGGAAAAGTATGCTTTTTCGTTCACAGGAAGGAGGGTGGGATAGAAAGTGAACCAAATAAATAAATTGTTCACACACTCCCTCCACTTCTCGTATCTCTGATCCAACATTGGCTTCTCTTATGTTCTTATCTCAGGGCGTGACTGTGCTCTTTGTGTTTTGAAATGTAGGAAGACCTGCTTGTGGGCACTTCTAGGCCTAATGTATGTGGGCACTTCTAGGCCTAAGGTCACTGTAGCAGAAAGCCATTATTGGGCTGGGCCTAGGATTCAAATTTCACCTGAATCACGAAGCTCACCTTGACAGCCTTGGCACAAGTCACTGATCCATACTTTAAACTGTCCTCTAGATTCATCTTCTCCCTGAATCCTGTCCCCTCAGACAAAATAGAATTGTACTTTCTAATAAGGCCTCAGTAGAAGCTCCTCCTCTTCCTCCTCCAGGGAGGGGCAGGGGCCAGCGAGAATTTATTTTTTCCCCATGAGATGTGATTAAAAACCATTCCAAGTGGGTACAGAACCATGGTTAACAAGTGTGTGTTTCTAGGGAGCAGCGGGCCTTGTCCATTTCCTCAGCCATCTTGCCTCTGGCTGCTTATTTGTTTTGCTTCATTGGATTTAGTGGAGGTCCCTGATTTCAGCCCACATATTATGCCTGCATAGAACTCCAGCCCTTTATCCAAGACAAACTCCATTCTTCAATCACCCTAGAGTGCTAGAACACAGAAATTTGGATGCGAGCATAAAGACATGGGTCTGTAGAGAAGGATGTCTTTAGGCTCACAGAATCATTCATGTGCGAAGGGTAAGAGAAGAGAAGATTGGATTTATACCTCACCTGTCACTATCTGAAGGAGTCTCAGAGCAGCTTACAGTCTCCTTTCCCTCCCCAGAACAGACACCCTGCGAGGTAGGTGGGGCGGGGAGAGCTCTTTCAAGAACTACTCATGAGAGAACAATTCTGAAAGAACTTGTAACTGGCCCAAGTGCTGTCACTGTCTCCAACAGCTCACACTGCTTTCCCCACCTCTGCAACACATTTGATAAGACATATAGGTGAGCAAAACTGAACACTGACTGAGAAGTAGTTCGCCCCATCCCCCATGCTTCTAGCAAGTTCTGTCTTTATTTTCAAAGTGCCGTCTACCTGTATTTAATTTAAATGTATGTTGTCCCTCTTTATACATTTTTAAAGGGACAAGTGGGATGGTGGTGTCATGTGTTTCCTGCCAGATCCACACAGCATCACCCTTGCCTCCGCTAAGCATTCAGAACGGATGTCCTGGGAGCATGACTTCAAAGTAAAATTATACAGCTAAACAAAATGTAGAGCGCCTTCCCTCCCCACGGGTTAGTTACCCTGTCACACATCCGGCTGCCCATTATGTTAAACTTTGCAAATTTACGAATCAGCCACTAGATGGCACTTCAGTACTTTCTTAAAATGTCAAATTACTTTTTTGTGTATTTGGGGGGCTAAACTTGAGTCAGGAAAAGCAAATGATGCGGTATTTATTTATTTCAGTTTATATCCCATCCTACACTGCAAGCGGGCTCTAACAAAAACATTAAAACACAAGACCCTTAGGTTATTTTTAAGGGGTAGTCCAATTTCCACAACTTCTGATCTTGAAAGTACACTGGAAATTGTAAAATTACATACAAGCTTAGTCGAAAGTGTGTTCATGGGGAGCTACTGAAAAATAAGAATGGATGCCGTTGTGAAGACTGGAAGCTCTTTGGCAAAAACTCCCTTTCAAGTGGTCAGATTGCAGCCTGGCCCTTTGAATGCTATTCCCTTGCTTTTATGAACTTTCTCTCGGAGAGAGGAATCACTGCTTGAAAGCTGACTTTTGTCCATGAAAACAAGAGAACCTAAAGCTATAAATGTAAAACAATGAAAAGAGCATGGAGTTGTTAAAACGAAGTAAAGCATCAACGTACCCATGTGTGTACAGATACCCTGTCCCCTAACGTAACTTGGAAAAAATATTTTTCTGTCAATAGTGTCAGGTAGCCCATGAAGCATTAGGGATGCCCCCCTCCCCGGGCTGTGTGGGGCTAAACTGCAGGGTGCTGCTTAGGAATATGGTCAGTTGGTCAGTCAGTCAGATACTACCTTTATTGGCATAAATTAAAATCACACAAAACCAGTATTTAAATATACAGAGTACAATAAAAAATCAATCATCTTGCTTTGGCAGCACATATACTAGAACTGGAACGATGCAGAGCAGTTTAGCATGGCCCCTGCACAAGGCTGTCACGCAAAGAAACATGGCTACAGCTGCAATTCTTTTCTAGTTCTCCACTACACGTCGTCTTGTTCCTAAGTTCCCTTGTGGTAGTCTTTGTACATTTCCTGTCCATGGATGTTCCTTTCGATAGATACTGTTGGTGAGAACTTATGAATTTTTTTAACGTACTCATGCAGAACTTGACAAAGAGCAACTGCATCTTAGTTATCCCTGAAGACTTCAAGGAAGCTATGATTTTTTTAACATAAATTATACGAAAAGGAAACTCATGTTTTAAAAAATCCAACCGCAGCATAACTTTACATACCCACAAAAGGCAACTTTTGTTAAAGATATTCCCCTTACTAAGCACCAAATGTAGCTCATTACCCTCACTACTAAAAGGAAGCCTTCTGAGAAAGAAACATCCTACAGGTCCTCCTGAATGACATGAGATCTGCCATGTGCCTTCAGCCAGGTCGTGCCAGAAGGTTAACACTGGATGGGAAAACATGCCCAGACTCAAGGGAGGAGAGAACGTCTTCCCAGGGACTGATGAGCACCTTGAACTGAACCCCAGAGCCCAGTCTGTCAGTGTTATGGTGGAAGCCCTGGTCTCTTGTGCTCCTACGGGCTACAGCCAGTCAACAGAGCAGCTGCGTTTTGTGCCTGTTGAGGCTTCTGAGGCCATGTTAATTTGGCTTGGGTTAGCTGTCACATTGCTCCCTATCTGTGGATTGGGGCCACACTTGCACTAAACAGATTTTTCTGCAAGTTTGAGTGACACCCCCCCCCCCAGGTTTGCAGAAAAATCAGAAATCTACAAATAAATACATGGGTTTTTTTTTAAAATCCCCCTCCAGTAAAACAGCTTTCTCTGCACACGCACAAAGAGCACTCTTTACTACCTACCTTCTGCGTGGCAAACCATCCCAGGGGTCGTGGTGGGCCCAGCAGAGGCAGCAGTGAAGCAGCCCAGGGGCTGTTCCAGGCCTGGAAGTGGCTTAAAGAGAGCTGAGGGCCATGCTGGGCCCTGTGTTGGCAGCTCTGCCGCCTGGGAGTTGTGCTGGGCCCAGCAGCAGCACCAGCAGCGCAGCCCCTGAGTCATCCTGAGCCTGCCAAGAAAGTGAGGGGCGGAGGGGATTTCTCCTCCTCCGTGAGTATTGCTGGCCCACACTTGTAAATCCTATTGTAATGAGTGCTGGGGTACCTAGCAATACCATGCCTGGGTGAGACCTGAGACAAGTTTGGATTTTATTTAAGAGGGGAGGAGTCTGTTGGAGTTTGGGTAGGGAAACCATTTGTGTTGAAGAAAATAAAGAACTGGTAAGAAGCTGTGGGGAAGGGGGTATAAGTAGCCTGTTTTTGAGGAACTGATACCTCAGTCCAAGCCTTGCCTACCTCTTTTGCCTGTATACCTGTAAAACAAGCAGGTGTTCCTCAAAGTATCCAGTACTTTAACCTAACAATGAAATGAAGCGGTAAAGTTGTCTTGAACTCCTCATTTGCTTTGGGGGGGGGGCACCTCAGGACCGTAAAACATGCTGACTTGTAAAAATTACATAACACTCTTGCTTTGTAGACTGGGCAGCTTTCGAAACAGACTGGATGGCTACCATCTGGCCATCCCACTGCTGTTTCTCGTAGTCCTGCTTGTACTCACATGTGCTGCTGGGCTAAAGCAATAGAAATGACCAAGGATACAAAACTAGGCAAGTACCTTTTAGGCAAAGTT